AGAAAAAAATCGAAGGTAAAAATGATAAAAAAGAGAGAAATAAAGAAAGAAAAAAAGAAGAAAGAAAGAAAGAAAAAGAGAGAACGGAAAATTAAAAGAGAGAGAAAGTGCTGAAAATATACAAATGATCTGAAAGTGAAGAAATATAGACAAAGAAAGCAACAAAAAAAAGTCAAGAAAGAAAGAAACAAAGGCAAGAATGATAAAAACAAAAGCATTCAAAAAACGTTATAAAAAAGTGAAAGCACCCCCCTAAATATTCTTATAATTTTGCCTATAAGATAATTGTGTATTTACAACTCATATGAATAACTAACAACGTTAGTTAAATCAAAACAAAAATCCTTAATTTTCACTTTTCAAGATGATAGCGATTAAAATAAAGATTTAAAAAACATAGAAATCTGAATGAGTTAGAATAGTTATAAAGGGTGGGGCAGAAATACCTCCCATATATACCTCCCACGTCAAAGGAAGACATTACCTAAATAATGACACCATTGCCACTAATGTCTATTTTTTTAAGTGTATATATGAGTGTCGGATAGCAGCTCGGATTGAGAGCCGAGTTCGAATTTCAGTCGAGTCCATTACATGCTTACGTGCTAATACCCTTGGGAAAGGTACGAATCCGCTTCTTAAAGCTATGGGTAAATAGCGGAACAGAGCGGGTTCTGTAGCCTTGGATGGCAACTGGTCTATTGCAGAAAGAAATGGTAATCTACTGCGGGAAAAAATTTGCCTAAGCGTGTATATAACTGACTGACCGATATGCAAGATGTATTTCTGTCGCACCCTGTGAATCTTAAAATGTAAATAAAAACAGTTATAGTGGAAACTCTGCGTCGTACGCATAATTTTTCACGTCAGAGGCCATCTTACACGTTTATAAATCTACTACTCGTTCGTGCATTGAATTTTAAGCCATATCTGGTCTAGAGTCTCTTTCTTTCTTTTTACAATGTCACTCATCCTGGAGGGTCAGTTGTGGTAGATGGTTACCGTGTATGAAACACAGTTTATGCGGACATGCGTGGAAAATAACATTAAACACTAGACTCGAACAGGTTAAAATTGTTGTGATCGATAAAGCATCCCCTTTGGCGCCAGTTCCACACGGCAGCGGTGCGCTAGAAGATATTGCTCGACTGGAACTTACATCTCATCAAATAGAAACGCAGAGATTAAGGGTGGTTCGCTACAATGGGCGTGGCATGGCGCGTTTTAACCGTGAAGATTAGGACAGGGTGAAACTAAAGAGTGTCGTTCATTTGAACACTCTCCATAGAAATAACTAGAGAGAAGCCTGCATTTCGTCTGGGAGAAAGTAGTTGAAAGGCGGAAAATAATTCATCACCCGCAAGGACGCGGAGACGCTTTTGAATAATAGAGACTGGAAAGTGAAGGCTGGACAGTTCCTGTCCATATATGGCAGCAGTACTCCATTTTAGACTTGATCTAGCTTTTGTAAGTGTAGCAGAAGTCAGATAGTTCCTGGAGCGCTACAGGGATCTGACCATTTTTCCAGCATCTTTAGCGATGATTCGTATGTACAAGTTCCACCTGAGTCCCAATAGGCACTCTCAAGGCATGAGGCCTCCTTGAATAAACCTCTGTTCATCGCGATTGGTGAGTGTTCTGGGTTCGATCCCACGATGGTGGATTGTAACTATTTTGGTTTTTGAGGCATTGAATGTGAACAACCAGTATTCCCTGAACAGTTAGAAGAAAGCCAGAGGAGAGATTAGTAGCCAGAGGAGAGATTAGTAGCCAGAGGAGAGATTAGTAGCCAGAGGAGAGATTAGTAGCCAGAGTTTCGCAGGTGCACTCATAGACCGCTCTATCATCTTCATAGATATTCACAAACGACCGGATTATACTAATATTTATATAAAATATGAAGAGGATTGATTCAATAGGCGATCCTTTAAGTACGCCTGCGTGTATCGCTTTAGCCTTGGAGGACTGGCCGTTAACAAGAACCTTCAGAGACCTACCCGTTAAGAAAACTCTTCCAGTGATTCCATAGCTAGAGAGCTTGTACAATAACCATTTATGCCACAACTTATCAAAGACTTTTGAAATATCTAATGCGATCTAATCCTTGAGATGTATTTGTTGTCTAATGTCTCAATGATTCTCTGAGTAATTGTAATTAGGATATCAGCAGTGGACCGAGTAGATCAAAATCCGTACTGCTTGTCGCTCAAGAGGTTGTTCCTACTGAGGTGGTCAACATCTATTTTTATTGATTATAGTTTCTTCAGAGTTGGTTACTGACACTCAGGAGACTGATGGTTCCATACTAAGAAGGGAATGAGCGCTCACCCGAATTTTTGAAAACCGAGCATATACTTGTGTTATGATGAAACACACCTATTCTATAGTTAATAGACTCTCTCACCTAACATAAGTAGGAGTAGTAAGAGAAACGAGAGTCGGTCGAAGTCAGTCGATGTCGGACGACAGTTAGTCGAATACGAAAGTAGTCAGCGACCACGACAAGAGTATTCTGCATAATACCTATTATATCAAATTCCTAACGTTTTGTACGTCGAACTATTTAGAACCGATTTAGTACAAATACAAGCCTCCCCTGCGAAAATACTTCACAACAACTTGACACCTTCCACAGACTTGGGAAGAATAACTCCGAAATAATATTCTTAAAGACAACCATTGGGATTTTGTTTGAACCGGTGTCCTTCTTAGGATCCAATCTTGTAATGTATCTTGAGATAAAATCCAAAGAAGTGTCTGTAATATTATCGGTCCTGACTTGGCATCTCGGCTTCAGTCACTTTCCCACCGCCGAGGCGTGACTTCCCTACGTTCCCTGCATGAATTTACTAGATTAGCAATTAGGTCTCATCGTCTTACTGTTGAAACATCTCGCCCGTGGAATTCTTTTCCGATTTCTGGCTTTCATGCAGCTTACGATCTTCAAAAATTTAAAGGGAACCTCAATCGCCTGTTTTCTGTCTTCTGAAACCATTTCTTTTATTGTCCTTTTTCCTCACTAAAATCCTATTCTCTTTCACAGTCGGTTACCACTCGCGTCTTATTGGCATTGTTGTTTTGTTTGGGGTGTAATGATTAAAAAAAAAAAAAAAAAGACAAAAACAAAAACAAAACAAAAATTATGCATTCATTGATCGAACAACCAGTCGGGTGAAATTTATAAAATCAGTCTATAAAAACAATTTTTCAGAGAAATGCGTTTCTCAGGGTTAGTAACAGTTATCGCTCGTTCCAGTATTGATGGGGGCTTCCTTCCTGAATTGTTTAAGTCAAAGTAGCGTAGGACGTCAGCATCTGAATTATATCATTATTTTCTCATCGAGTTACATCTTGCTATCCATTTTAGTTGCTGCTGCTGTTGGAAGTCATCAAGTGATGTAGTTTCAGTTATTTCGTACGGTTCTTATAACTAGCATTTGTTTTCTCCCAACACCACCATTACACACACACACACACACACATATATATATATATATATGTATATTTGGTTGGATTGATGTGAGTTTGTGACCCTGGGTTTCACGCTTTTGCGATCGTCAGACAAACTGATTAATTTTTTAAAATTTTGGGTTTATGTAGATTGCGTGTATTAGTGTTATTAATAATCAGTTTGTCTGACGATCGCAAAAGCGTGAAACCCAGGGTCACAAACTCACATCAATCCAACCAAATATGTTAGCTCTACCTCTGATATTGAGCGCTTTCTAATAAGTACCGCGCATATAATATATAAATAATTATATATATATATATATATATTTATTTATATTTATATACACACACTTATCATCACACACACACACACACACACACACACACACACACACACACACACACACATATATATATATATATATCCATCGCATCCGGTGTATATATATATATATATATATATATATATATATATATATATATATATATATATACATACCGGATGCGATGGATAAATTGTCGTCTAAATTTCGCAAAAATGGAAATAATTCTGACATCCCATTTTAATACATACATTTACCAAAATCACGCAAAAATATCTTGAAATACTAAAAAAAATAAATAAAAATTCAATAAAATCGCCATTGGCTTCAACGACGGCCTCCAGACAACTTCGGAATATCCTGCATCTCATCTGGACGGTGAATGCTGCTATAATCCTTGCCTTCAGTTCAGATGTTACAAGGAGTTTTATTGGTCCCTCGTTCAACTGCGTCCTACACATCGTAATCAAGTCGTTTCAGTCTGGTGTGTTAAGTGGTCAGATGTAAGGGTCGCAACAATCTCCAGCTATTCAAGTGTAATGTCAATCGACATCTCCAGTTGCCTTGATCTATCCACTACCCTCATCCTTTCTTCTATCACTCCTATCTGATCTTGCTCTAAACGTTCTGTAACCCTTTGCGTCCTAGTGGCTTCCCGCCTTGCTTGGGGTGAAATGCTTAAAAAAAAAGATGTCTGACAGTCATGACTGGGTTCTTCTGCTTGTGCGGCGTGGTGCAGAGTCCTATTGCCAGACATAGGGTCTGGCAGCCACCGTCTTGACCCAAGGCAGCACTACCTCCTCAAGGCACAATTTAGGCCTCATTGTCGAGTCTGAGACCCTCATGAACAAATTCGGGAGTTCTTTTCTTATCAGAGTGAATACATTCTTAAACACAATTAGACTCACCCAGCTCTTTTCAAATTATCTGCACTGTTCGCGAAGGCCAAGTAGTACAGCATAGCGGTTCCAAACTTCTGGCAGCGTGAATTGAGTCATGGTGTTCTTTTTCTCACAGACGGAGCCCATTTGACCCTACCATTCTGTGCAGTCGACACAATAAAAAAAATGCGCATGCGCAAAACTAAAAATATAAAATACCGGCAATTTGCCCATTGCACTCTGTGTATATATATATATATATATATATATATATATATATATATGTATGTGTGTGTGTGTGTGTTCACGCGTAAAAGTGACTTCATCGTTAATTAGTCTGAAGATGTTCCTTCTAGGGACGAAACTCGTTATTTGGGAGTTTTTTTTATCTCTCATTTTGTTCTAGTCCATCTATCTATCTATCTATCTATCTATCTATCTATCTATCTATCTATCTATCTCATTCTGTTCATATCTGTCTAGGCCACTGTAGTAAAAACGAACACTGCACTTGATGAAATTTGTTGACACCCTACCCTCAACAGTCAATTAAAACCCATTCACTTCACATCTCCCATAAGCCATTAGTTTTACAAAGGCACTCCAAGTACCGTAGGCATACAAAGGCATACAAGGAGCGGCGTGTCTTTGGCAATATAACTTTTTGAAACCTATCCCTCTTCAGGTTGTTTTGAATTCAGAATTTTCCTTCTCTTACACTGGTTGGCACCTCAGAGTGAGCGATCCCAGTCTGCCCTACTATTTAATCCGTAACTAGCGGAAGATATATTCATGCCTTTTCCAAGGTCATTAGTGAACAAATCGATCCGGTATTGAACTCTGCAAGTAGAATGCGCTTTCTCACTCACTGCATCGCCCAATATTAATTACTCTTCTTTTATTTACCCGGTCACTTCAGAACGTGACTGGTTCTGGATCTCCACAACTTCCTATTCTTGGTATCTCTTAGCAATGTTTATTTTTACTATGCTTTCCGCCTCTGTTCCGCCATCCATTAACACAAGCTTGTTAGAGGAGTTACTTGCATTTTCCCTCTGTTCCTCTTACCATACTGTGAGTATCAAATTCTCCAAGTCCTCTTTTCTCATTAGAAACGTAAACTGCCTCTTTCTGTTTCTAAGTAAAAGTCTACTTCTTGATTTAATTTTCCATAAAACGTCCTTCTTACTCACATGTTCAGTCCATGGTATTCTCAGTATCCTTCTGTAGAACCATATGTCTGTTGCTTAAGGTATCTTCTTCACTTGTGAGGAAATTGTTCAACACTCACTGGCATATAGAAGCATAATTTGGATGTAGCATAAAGCTGAAAGTATGGGGCACTCAGTGAGGATCGAACTTTTATTCAGTCGTAACTGATCTAGCGAGACAAGCTTGCTAGCCATTGCACCACGTCGAAATTCCTAAAGGATTTTCTTAGCGTAGATAGATGTGGCACAAGGCCGAAAGTATGGGGCACCCAGTGAAGATCGAACTCATTATTCAGTCGTAACTGATCTAGAGAGACAAGTTTGTTAACCATTACACCACATTGAAGTGGGCAAAAATGATTTTCTAAGAGTAGCTTAGATACATAATTTACATTATTCGGACTATTGTTCTCATATTTGTCTTATTTGTATTATGTACATTATTTACATTATTCGGACTATTGTCTAACCAACGCCTTTACCCACTGTGTTACAGTGGATAAAGGCGTTGGTTAGATCCAGTAACAGGACCCAAAGAGTGTGAGTTCAATACACGGCTAAGGTAGTGGAGAACTTTCGGAGGGAAATTAACAGGAGATAACTGATAACTGACATCCATCAAAGATGGCACTTGGAACTAGAGCGAAATAAAGGGTTCAGTTCGATATTCCAACCACCTGAAGAAGGAAACGTTGTAATAAATAAGTTTGTTAACCATTACATCACATTGAAGTGGGCGTAGCTTAGATACATTATTTACATTATTAGGACTATTGTTCTCATCTAAATATGGCGACAAATAATGACGTTATTGATTTAGCGAGACAATAATGTAAACAGTGAACATAATACCTTATCTCAGAAATATAGACAGCGTAGCTTAGATGTGGCACAAGGCCCAAAGTATGGGGTGCCCAGAAGGATAGACCTCACTATTCAACCGTAATTTATCTAGCAAGACAATCTTATTAACCATAACATCACATCAAAAACGCCCGAACTGGCATATAAAAGGAGTGCTATTACATAGTAGTTCAGCACTCTTTCCTGTTTCTTAATAGTTTGCTTAGCTTTTGCATTGCATCTTTTACTATTCCAATACGCCTTCGGATTCTGGTGTCACAGTTTTCGCCATCTGTTAAAACACTTCCCAGATATTTAAATGTCTGCTCTGGCTTGATTTTGACGGATCTAATTTGCAGCTTTGCATCTTCTGTTTCTCCTTTCTTGACATTGGCTAAACTTCATTCGGAGTCTTGCACCCTGGGCCGAGTGAAATAATACAGAGATATTATTAGACACGACCTGCATATTCCTTTCTTTTCTGCAGTCCAAACAACAGCCAGAAACTGCAGACTTTGATCGCGTGTTGTGGAGCAGAGTGGGTAATCTTCTTGGCGAGTGGATCATCATAGAATCAAACTGTTTTAACACGAACATCAGAAATCTCGAGCAGTTGAAGCGTTAGTCATCTCCTCTAAAACAAGGGATAGACAAAAAGGATAAGAACTCAGAGAATTATTACGCTGTACCGAAAGTGAGAGTGGTATTTTTTGAATTCCCAAAATGAAATCGCAGACAAAATACGATCTATTTTTCTCCTAATTCCACTCGTACCATTTTTACCTAAATTCACTATATAATTTAATAAGACACTGAACAATTAGTTTAAGTGTTACACTATAAGTAAGTTTATGAGGATTGTTTCTACTATACTTCCACCCCTGTTCTGCCATCTATTTACATAAGCTTGTTAGGTGAATTACTTGCATTTTTCTTCTGTCTCTTACCTATATCGTGTAAGTGTCAAATTCACCAAGCCCTCTTTTCTCTTTTTCTAAACCTGATCTTCCCCACATATCCCCATAAACTGTGCCTCTTACTCTATAACCCTCTATCCTCTAGTGGCTCTTGGTTGTTTCGGAAGTAGCGTTGGATGTCAGTTATCAGTTATCTTCTGTTAATTTCCCCCCGAAAGTTCTCCACTGCCTTAGCAGGGTATTGAACTCACACTTTTTGCGTCCTGTCACTGGATCTAACTAACGACATTATCCACTATGTCATGTGTCCTTGAGGATGAATTTGCCAGTAGTGCAATGTATATCGTTATAGGAAGTGGAATCGACATACCGAGTTTAAATCCAATGCTAGTCTGTTACGTTCAGTTCGCACTAATGCACTCGAGAAAGGCATGAATCCTTTTCTTCTCTCTCAGCTATGGTTAAAACAACAGCGTCAACATGGCTCTCTTATCTCAGTAAAAGAAAACTTTTGAATTCCAAACAAGAAGTTATTCCACGTTTTTTTTTTTTATTCAAAGATAATAAAGAAAAAAAAAACATCTCAACGTCTCTTATGACCTTATGAAATCAATAAATTATTTGTTTTAAAAATGCAGATATTTTCTGGTTTAAACTAATCAGACATTTCACGAAAATAATCATACTCTACGGATTACCAAAACTGGTATTTTATTTACTAATTATTTATTCATTTTATTTCTTCCCAAAAGAAGTTGATAGGTTCGCCTATTGTCCAGTTAACACTTTTGCCCGGTCTTTTGAACAGGTTTAGAGGTTTATTATTTGTTTCCTGTTTCGGATTGTGTTTCTGGTTCCTTCTAAATTCTTTTCATTCTCTTTCATTCCCTTGCGTCTTAGTCGAATTATCATCTTACTTGTGCATTGATTTAAAATTTCCTATGAGACCCATTATATCAGGAATAGGCAACGCCCCACATAAACTAACCGACACACTAGCCAAACTTTTAACCCTACTATTCGGCACAGTTAAAATAAAACTGTGGAGATCATAGTACAGATATACAAAACAAATACATGACTAGATCATATATATATATATATATAAATAATATTATATGTATTAAATTAAATTTTATATAGTTTCTGTTTATACGTTATTTTTATGGATACAACTTATTTGAGTATATGCCCTGTTTTTAATTAAACAGTATTATTTATATTTACCGGCCAGAATGTTGGAGAAATTCTACAGAAAATATGCGTTCTCCGACAGGGATCGAACCTGTATCCCATACGGAAACCGTCATTTGACCTTACGTATTGTTAACCATTCAAACACAGAGAACATTCGGTTACAAAACTTAGTTCAAATTACAGCTTTATATATATACTCACAACTTGTAAACTAAGTAAAAAGTTATATTGATCAAGGGATGAGGTTATTTTCTTTTGCAGGCAGCGGATTTTTGCGTCTGGGTATCAGATTCGAGGGAATGGCGGCAATTGTGTGTTCAGATGAAAGACGAACGAAAGTCTGGCACATCAAACAGGAAACGATAGAAGTTAGGAATTACTAATGCTTGCAGAGGTAACTTTTTATCTTATCGATTAGTTCTGGCTGCAAATAAGAATTGAGGCGAGAACGAGGCAAAGAAAACAAAATGGCGGAAGGAGTGATGCGTATAAAATGCTTCTTTTGCTTCTCTATTCCTTTTCTCTTGCATGACCATTATTTCCTTATTTTTTTATTTTTTTTACGATATATAATTCCACTCCTTTCTACTTTTTCATTTCCTCCCACGCACACAGCAACATATAAAAATGATGCACAGTCTATCAGCACTATATTAGCGTTCTTAGGCACCCGGGTATATTTTTATTGCCGCTTGACTCTCTTTCAGTACACAAGCGCATCCACACAATACACATTTTGTTATATTTTCTTTCACAGATGCATGCATGCAAAGATATACTCTTCTTATATACGTGTATGTTATACATACATCTATATTTTCGTTTCAGAATTATAAGTGTGCAATATAACTCATTGGCATTTCTTCCTGTTAATTTCTTTCTTTTTCATCTTTCTTTCTTCACTTTCCTATTTTAATATTTCTCTCGCGTGACCATTATTTCCTTTTTCTTTCTTTCTTTCTTTCTTTTTCTTTCTTTAGTTTTTATTTATTTTACATTTTTTCTTTCTGTCTTTACTTTGCTTTTTCAGTTTTTCTTTCATTTTACCGTTATTTCTTCTTTCTTTCTTTCTTTCTTTCTTTCACTTGTCATTCATTTCTTTTTCTTTCTTTTTTCCTTAAGATTATTTACTTCTTTTTTCACTTGTCATTGATTTCTTTTATCTTTCTTTCCTTCTTTTTTCTTAAGTTTCTTTCTTTCTTCGTTTTCCTTCCTCCATTCTTTACCACTTAAACTTTTTCTTTCTTTCACTCGTCATTCATTTCATTTTTTTTTCATTTCTTATCTGTTATTTTATTTTTTATTTTGTTTTTCATTCCTTTTTTTTTCTAAATTTTCTTTCCTTTTTCTTTCTTCATTTTCTTTCCTCAGTTATTTTTCACTCAACCTTTCTTTCTTTCTTTCTTTCTTTCTTTCTTTCTTTCTTTCTTTCTTTCTTTCAAGTTTGCTGCCAATGCACGTAAGTTCATTCTGACATGCACACATGCTGTGTAAATCAGTTAGGCCCGTGTACCTCCCCTGTTTTCTCCATCGCTGCTATTCTTTCTAAAGCCACACAATCTTTATCTACCCGAAAGCATATTTTCCTTCAATTTCAAGCTTGCTTCAGAAGCTTATTCACGGTGACGTTGATGCAGAGGTGGAAAGAAAAAAAAAAGTCGCTTCACCGCCATGAAACGAGCAAGTGCGACTAACAGAAAAGTCTCGATTCTAATGGTCAAGTATTAGTTACTTTCAGTCTAAGAACGCAACCCCGACAGTTCCGTGCATGAGGTCACACCGTAAAGTCAGTCTGACCTGGAGTTTTCTTTTATCGTATATGTCTTTCATTATTTTTAAACATTCAGTGTTTTTCCCTCCTCTTCCTTCATGTTTTCACTCATCCGCAGTCAGTAACATGACCTATCACAAAAAAATAAATAAATAAATAAATAAAATAAATAAATAAATAAAATAAAATAAAAATAAAAAATAAATAAATAAATAAAAAGTAATAAGCGCTTAGAACTTGAACTTGACTCAGCGGTGGTGAGGTGGAATAGTTGCCATTTTCAATCGGTTCTAGTGGTAGGTGTTCGAATCCATGTAAAAGCCGTCATTTAAAATGTTGATTTTTCCAGGCAACCGTGACTGTTATCTTTCCCAAAGATTCGAATAAACTGCTATATTTAACAATCCCCCCACAAGGAATGTATGTGGCACTAGGCCGAGTTTAACGTGGGTTTCTCCGAGCCCGTAGGCTCAGCCAAAAATATTCACTTTCAACCCGCCTAGACGGGTTCAGGGCCTGTCTACCTCCCCAGACGAAACTTTGTCCTACGGCAAAGCTTCGTCCGAGTTCCTCTCTGCCGAGGCAGAGAGTTCAACAGAAATGAACAGTCTGGTTGACTGCTCTCCGAATAAACTGCGGTCTTTACTCCAACCGATCGTACAACAACAGCCTTCACTAAACCTCTACATTGAGTGACCCTTGAGCCTTATATACGGGAGACATTAGTAAAAAAAATAAAAACAAAACAACGTTTTAAATCAAACATTGTAACCCACGTACTAAACATTTGTTCTCTATTTTGCCAGGGCTTATGGCCAGATCACGTTCCTCTACGATTACTGAAGTTAAGCGACGTCGATCCTGGTCAGTATCTAGATGGGTGACCGCTTGTGAAGACCAAGTGTTGTAAGGTTGGATGTGAGGTTGGTGTAATGGGCTTACGGCCTCATCATATTGAAATACTAGTTCTCATACGATCACCGAACTTAAGAAACGTCGATCCTGGTCAGTACATAGATGAGTGACCGCTTGGGAATACCAGGTAGCTGTAAGGTTGGATGTGAGGTTGGTGTAATGGAATTACGGACACATCACATTGAAATACTGTTTCCAGTACGATCACCGAAGTTAAGCAACGTCGAGCCTGGTCAGTACCACTTGGAAATGCCATGTGCTGTAAGCTTGAATGTGCGGTTGGTGTAATGGATAATGTCTCGGAATTGTTAAGCGGCGAGCCGTGTTCCAATTCTAGTTGGGTTCGTTATATTCATTTACGCGAAAATCCCGTTGGGAAAGATATGAATACACCTCTTCTACCTCCAGCTATAGGTTAATTAATAAGACTTGTTTCACCAAAACATTATTATACCCTACAAAATAAAATAAATATCACGTGCCAAATATTTAGATTTCGGCATTAAATAAACAAAACAGAGGTTATTATGCCGTTAAACAAAAATATTTAAACCAAATTAATGTGCGTTTTTTCCCTCTCTTTCGCCATCCCTACAGTCTCTGTGTATATGGTGGAATTTAGAACACACGCACACAGCTAGATATGAATATATTAGCATTTGATTGCCCGTCCTTCTCTCCCTCGATGAATATATACTCAAATACGCGTGTGTTTATTTGGCAGTATGCACACACGCATATATATGTTCAAGTAAATAGAGCATTTTTAGATGAAGGATTTCTGCTTAACAATACTGTTTACATACACATACATATACATACATACATATACATACATACACATACATACATACATATATATATATATATATATATATATATATATATATATATATATATATATATATATATATAATTATTTATTTAAAAATTTATAACATAAATATGTTATAAAATCACTAAAAAATAGGTTTTACATTCAACATCATCACTTGATAAGACACCGGAGGTGTTGAAACAAAATGACTATTTTTCTAGTGGTTTTATATCATATTTATGTTATAAACTTTTTTAAATAAATAATTATATATGCTCTACTCTGTGTTGAGCACTCTTTTAAGAGTAGTAATTGTTCGTTATTGGAATTCATTCCATATACACCAATTATATACTTGTATATATATATATATATATATATATATATATATGGGGGGATAAAATGATATATAGTTTGTTTTATCTCAGAACAATATAGAATATATATATATATATATATATGATATGTATAGACAGTACTTTAATCGCTAGATCATCCACAGGAAATTTGCGTCCAGCTTCTTACACCATAACACATTTCTTGACAGATCTTCTATTATCACAACGTGGGGTATTTACTTACAAAAATGATAAAAATATAATCAAAAAGAAAAAGAAACTAATTGAAATTGGCTAAACTATGAAGCAAAACACATTTTAAAAATAACAAGAAACGGCAATAAATTTAAAAGATTAACTTAGAAATCCCCCCTCTTCTTCGTGTGCATGTGTAGTTACATCAACTTAAACATCACTTTCGTCCAATAATGTCCTAAACGGCTAACACGAAATTTTTTTCACTTTGTCATTAGTTTTCCTAATATATATATATCATACTTATAATAAAACCCAGGTTGTGTGTGTGTGTGCGTGTCTGTTCGTTTATATATTGGATCGGATTTCCTACATTTTTCAACCGATTTCAACAAAACTTCACAGGACTGCGTAAAATTACCTTGCAGTGGTTCTGACAGCGCCCCAAATTGGAAAAACACATTTGTTTTTGCACGAAATCAATTTGAAAACACAATTAAGAGGCATCGTTATCGCGAGAATGAAAGAAGGACAACTCATATCGAGTTATACTTATTATAAAACCCAGGTTGTTTGTGTGTGTGTGTGTGTGTGTGTGTGTGTGTGTGTGTGTGTGTTCGTTTATTTATGGGATCGGATTTCCTACATTTTTCAACCGATTTCAACAAAACTTCACTTTTTTTTGGCAAGTAGTGTTTCTTATTGTCTTGCATACTTTTTTCTTTATTTTTACATTCAGAATGCTTTTAAAATTCCATTTACAAGACAATTCTTTATAAGAAAATTCTATTCAATCGGTAGACTCATAACGATTGAAAACAATGTTTTTGTTTGAGTTTGGGTTTGACCAATTCGTCAAAAAAACAAACAAACAAAAAAACTAATTAAGACATGCGTGTCCGTCAACCTTAAACAATAATCTTTGTCAATTTTATTTTTCAGTCTTTATGATGGTCGATGCTTGATCTATCTCTTACTGTTACATCCCCGGGCAACGCCGGGCTCTACTGCTCACCCTTACACCGTAGAAACCTTCAAATGTAGCCGTCTCTTCTACTCCAATAGCTTCATACCTCGCACCTCTCGCCAGTGGAACACCCTCCCCAATTACTGTTTCCCTGAAAGCTATAATCTCCAACTATTCAAATGTAATGTCAATCGGCATCTCCAATTACCTTGATCTACCCACTATCCTTCTCCTCTTCCTTTCTCCTATCACTCTTATCTGCTCTCGCTCCAAATCTTCCGCAACCCCCTGCATCCTAGTGGCTTCACGCCTTGCTTGGGGCACAATGCTTAAAAAAAAAAAAAAAAAAATATATATATATATATATATATATATATATATATATATATATATATATATATATATGAAAATATTGTTGTTAAATAAGGTTAGATTCCTCTGATGTCGCTTGTACAACTCCGAATGCTCCTTCTCAATACAGCGTTCTTGAATTCTCGTACATGTCATCAACGTAAAAATCGTTCTGCTTCAGCAGTCTTTTATCATGCCAACACCACGGCCGACTGGCCAATCATCATTCTTCGCTTCGTCTTCAGTCACACAGTCAGATGGCATCCTCTAGTCCGACCAATCAGCACACGAATTGTTATATAAAAGCTAACGTTACAGAATATACTCTGCCGGAACAATCTAAAAGCATGCCATTTTCTAGCAATAAAACGTTACTGCTACGTGTAAAGAACTTATTTTCCTTTACACCAGATTCAAGCCACTCTTAAATCGTTGCCGCTGTTCCTGTTATAAATCAAATAGTAATTTTCGCAAACCATTTTTCTGCGACGAAGGGTTGGCTGAAAGGTTACTTAAAAATTTGATATCTGTCCTATTTAAGGCAATTAACAATATATTTATTTAGATAAGTAGGCATTTCTTCATTTTTATTGATTATAACCACCCATGTAATATATATATATATATATATATATATATATATATATATATATATATATATATATTATAAAAATTAATTGATTTAAAACATATTTTAAATCAATTAATTTATAATATTAATGCTCTGTAAATTTACATTGAGCACTATTTTGTAAAAATATCTATAAGAACACCGGATTATATATCTTACTGTTCTTTATATATATATATATATATATATATATATATATATATATATATATATATATATATATATATATATATCAAATATGTGGTACAGTTCAATTTATATTACAATGAATCATTCATCCAAAAGTAGATTAGTAAAGTTAATGATATAAAATGGCGAAATCCCTTCGCTAACAAAATTTTAAAGGTGCAATAACCCACCAATCACTCGATTAATGTTAGGATACTTGTTTTTTTTTTAAATTATAAGCTGTATAAGGTCTTTCTCTAATACGCAAGTACTTTCGACTGTACATTCAGTCATCTTCAGGTATGGAAATTATTTTGTTTTTGATAAAATTCAGGTAGCATCCGAGACGAAAAATATTATAAAAAATATAAATTTTGTTTGAACTGATATATATATATATATATATATATATATATTATCTATGCGTGTACATTTTCTAAATACATTTCTGCCTTTCTTCCTAATATCTCTTTCTTTCCTCTGTCTTTTCTCCTGTTGTTTCTTTATATCTTTTTTATACCTCACCTCTTTTTCTGTGGTCATCTTACTTCTTCTCTGCCGACATCCTTCCCGCTAAAGCCAATCATATGCAACGCTTATCGACCCACTCATCTACTTCCCAAAAACGTACAACTAAATGCTGCTATCCCTCACCCCCCGGAGCTGTTTCATTGTTGGTAATGACCTTTCATCTTTACATTACGTGTCTGACCCAAACGCGTTTAGACTCTATTGCCCTACTCTTCCAAAAGATGCCCTTTAATCCTGTTAGCGAATCATTTGAACAAAGGACAGGATCTTTGGTCACTTCCCGGATACTCGCATTTCGTGTAAAATATTTTGGGTTTGTGTTATATGGGAGCTTAATCATTACTGAGATTACTGTTTTCTTTGAAAACATACGTAACTTTTCGACCTGTGTGAATCGTACCTTCCCTCTTCAGTTGTGGCGTTGAGGTTTTAAAAGCTTCTGTCCCTTGATACCAGGTCAGTGACACTCTTTATCACACTTTTCATTTATCTCCTGACCGAAAATAAACACTAGAATGCTTATTCCTAAGCAAGTTTTAAAACTGATTGTACACATTAGGCTATTCAAACAGTATTACGTTTTACCAGAAAGGATATAAAAACAGATGTAAGTGAAACTTAGATATTATCGAAATTATCATCGCCTTCATTCTCAACGTGTTCTACCCAAGAGAACGGCTAATTTTGGCTTACAGGTTTTTTTTTAAAATGGCGTTTTCTCCTGAAAACTTATTTTGTAAAGACTTTTTTTCAGAATGTTCTGCCTCTTCTGAAATGTTTTTGTGATTAAACATTAATAATGATAATAACAGCCGTTTCCTTATAAGGAAACATTCGGTCTTCATTGACCGAGAAGCCAGTTTTACTTTCGGTTTAAATTTATGAAATCTTTCTCTTAATTTTTTTTCAGGAAAACAGGCTTCCCAACTCACGTTACTGTTACTACTTTTGATGGGGTTTCCGTCCTAACCTTTTGTTTAAAGTAGTGTGGAACATCAACATCTTGAATATATCATTATTTTCTCTTCGAGTTAGATGTTCTATCCTTTTTAGTTCTTGCTGCTCTTGGTAATCTTCAAGTGATGTAGTTTCTTTATTTGGTACAGTTTGTGATTCTGTAGCGCCAATCTACAATGTTC